TGAAGCTCTTTCTCTCGTCCATCTTACGGAGATCACTTTTATTAGGACTTTCAAGATAAAAATCAACAACTTAATACTTTCCTCTGCGTATGACTACTCTCTGGACTTTTGGAAAGCCTACACTTCCAGAATAAGTAATAATCTGATTAAATCTGTTTAAAGAAAAAAATAATAGCTATATTTGTCCCTGATTGCACGTGGCTGAAGATGTTTAGGCTAAAAATGCACTAGAATTATTTTTTATGTGAGAATATTTTATTAAAAAGTAAAATCTACTGAATATGGTCATATTCTGATGATCTCAACCACAGAGTCCTTGGGAAAGTGGACACTCCAAATCCGACTGTCATTAAGATGGATTTTATGTGCGTTAATTTGAAGAATAAAGTGGACACAACATACTGTGTGTGTGTGTGTGTGTGTGTGTGTGTGTGTGTGTGTGTGTTTGGGTCATGGATGTGTCCAGGCTGTCAGCTCCACTTTCATGTCAAACTCGGCCTGTTTTCACTCGGATCTGCGAACTGCACGGCGCATGGACTTACATCATCGGCGTCTCGACATCTGGACAAGTAACTTGTAGTAAAAGGATGAAAATGTGTTTGAACTCTGCAGGAAATAGAGCCGACATGATACAAGCTGATGAATCTCTGACAAGAAATCCTGCAGGAAAATGTCCTCCATTCACCATAAACGAACTCTTTCCCTCTGAGACGATCCCTAACAGCCTCAAAGTACAACTTGGAGCTGAATTCTCGGTTTGAACACGCCTTACATTATTCTGCAGCCGTGAAATCAAAGAATAAACAAGCTCAACCTAATTGAATAAATACATAAATAAAATATCATATCGTTTGCGTAGGTGATTTTATTTTTGTCCATTTTGATCAAATCATTCACACCATTCACTATAAATAAAATTACTAATATCCAAGAATGGAAAAAAAAATGCAAACTTAAATAAATAACAAATAAATAAATTAATTAATAAATAAATTAATAAATTAATAAATTAATAAATACATAAAAGCAGATCAAAATGCCTTTATGTTTTCATAAAGGCATCTAACGAGCAGGTGGTCTGCTCGTTTGATTTATGTAACTTTCAGTCCACATTACAGCAGTGTGTAAGACGCCGAGGGCGTGTTCCCTCATCTCGTAACCCGTTTGGTTATTTGCCAAATTGTTGGGACACACTTTCAGCTCGCCTTCTTCCCAGCAGTCCTTCATCTCTGCGGCCAGAAGTTCAAAGGGGACTTTGAACGTTCTGGTGTAGCTGATGATGTTGGTCTTCACATCTTCATGCGTAGTGAGGTTACCGATGACTTTTGGCAGGTAGCTTGTCAGACACGCACTGATTTCAGACATGGAGTTCAATGTCTGAAATCGGTCAATGTCTGCATTGGTCATGTTAATCGTTATTCCACCCAGGGGCTTCAGACTCCTGGTCTTCGTCTCGATTGTGGTATTGTAAAAGAGGCGTTCAATCTGTGGAAGAAGAAAGATCAGCTGTGAGGACTCAAATCTGGAGATGTCAGTGTTTACATAAACCAAATAAAGAAAAAAGTAACCTATTTTCTCATTGTCTGAGATGAAATCAGAGTAATCTTCCTTTCTAGGTGGTTGGGGTTATGTCTTTTTACTAAGTACCAGAACAAAAATGTGAGATTTTGTCTAAAATCAGAAGTTCACATGGAGTAACTTGAATCTAACCGATTTGAAAAAGCCTAAAAGTTGATGTGATCGAAAGAAATAATCAACTTTTGAAAAATTACACAGGTGTGACAGGCAAATTATAAGAAATCCACCAACATATCAGGAAGATCAAATGGCGTTATTTGGATGAAGAAGGGGAAAACCTGCCAGCCTGAACACCATCCCATGTGGTGCATAAGTACGGGGGTGGCAGCATCATGCTGTGAGAAACTGGTGACTTGACACAGATGTTGTCAAGTCGAGGAAAGAACGTCATGTGGAAACACCGAAGCAACAGTTCAAGACATTCAACAGAAGGTTTACGCCTGGACACAAATGGGTGTCCCAAATGGACAGTGACTCTAAGGAAACCACCAGATTAGTAGACAAAGAGCAACAAAGTCAGCGTTTGCAATGAATATCATGAAACCCTTATCTCAGTCCTAGTGGAAATCTGTGGACAGACCTGAAAAGATCTGACCGGGTGAGGTAGCCAACACACCCGACTCAGCTGCACCTGGCCTGTCAGATGGGCAAACTAATGGGAAAAGCTTGCAGAAGGACATCCACACAAAACGCTACACCCAAGTCACACACTTTAAAAGGCAGTTGAACTAAACACTGTATGTAAACTTTTAAGATTCAAGAAAGTATCTAATTTTTTCTGGTATTTAGCAGATCAAATAACTTCCCAACTGACCCAGATAGGATCAGTCATCTAGCTGAAGTCTGACTTCAGCTAGATGACTGACTGAATTATACCAGTAAGAAAATGTGTTACATGTCTTTGTAAATATCAGTCTTCAACTGTATTTCCAAATTACAATAATACATTTTTTTTACAATCGTTGTAAAGTGGCAAGTCTATTTTACATTAAACTTTCACTTCCATTCACACATCACACAATCTTTCCACAAGTTTACTTACAAATAGATTTTCTGCATACTTGAGGTCTTTCAACAGACGTATAAAAGACGAGTTATTCTTTTCAGCCGGTACACCCAGTTTCTCCTCACAACTCGTTGGTCTGACTGGATTGGAGGCCGTCGAGGAGATGTGCATGACAGTGACGAGGAGAAGCAGGAGATCTGCAAACGGTCAGACATAAAAGAATACGATGATGTCGTCTGCATAGAGTCAACCAAAGTACCGCTGAAGTCAAACTGGGATCAGCATAAACACAAACAGATGAATGATACTCAGAAAGAAAAATGGGTCTTGAAGAAAGTGAAAATTTTGTAAAAAAAAAAAAAAAAAGAAAGAAAAAGAAAAAAAGTAACATTTAAGAGTTTTTAGACACAAACTGAGTACAGTTTCATCAAAATCACCAATCAAGCGTTAAGATTTACTCCTCAATGACTTGAGAAGAGCTTACCGTTAGCCAGAATCATGGTGCCAAGTATTCTGTTCGCTGTTCAGTCAATGCTTTCTAGACTGGCACCTGCTGCTTTTATAATGGGTTGCAACGTGGGACTTTTTTTTTTTTTTTCATGCCATCAGCTGGTTGATGACGCCACCTTGGCAAAGTATCTCTTTGTAAAATCTTTCTTTTTTGCAGTTGTAGGGCACCGCTCACCATAGTGGTTTTACTGTGTGTGGAGGCAGAGCAAAGTACCACAGAGCGTTATCTCTCAAAGCTGGCACTGAAACTGCCTGGTAATGCTTTGCTCCACTGTGAAGCAGAATCTCAAACACATTCTGGTAGGTTGTTTAGGACATTGGTAGGATACGCTTAAATTATGTTTAAAAAAATCTGTCATTTAATATGGTCATGTTTTTCTTCTTGCCTTGTAGTTGTCTATTTGAACACCAAATCTTCCCATTTTGTGTTCGTTTACAGTGATTCCTGTTTCCACGAACCCATGACGACATTAAAGATATTCAGATTTGGACTGCCAAGGTGTATGTTAAAGTAATCTGAGAATTTCCCAGTTACACATATTTCTCTGTAAGCGTATCTACCTTTATCTCCGCCCTTCCACTTGGATAACACGCTGCAGGATGAGATACAGAGTTACTGCTCATCTGCATTTGCAATTTGAGTAACTTTTTCACAGTCTCACAACATTGACTGTATTTTTTTTTTGTACTATATCAACTAGATTAAATACTACACTGAACCACAGGCGAATGGAAAATATTAATCAAATAGCGTGGGCCTAAACTGAAATAACTTAAATTCCAATTAGCTCAATGCTAAGTATCCATTTGCAGCATGATGCCTTGCAAAGATATGTTTTATATAAAAGAGCAACACAAAAAGAACTGTAAAGAGGAAAGGAAAGGGCTTCTGGTTTTTAAATATTTTCACAAAAAACATTTGAAAAGTATGGCATGAAATTATGGGAAGTCTCCTGATTTAATAGTTTGTGTAAAAATATTTTGTTGTAATTGAAGCTGGACAAATTTTTGGATGTTTTCTCAGTCAGATTGGATTGAGAGCTTCTGTGAACAATAGTTTTCAACAGGGATGTGTGAGCCAATATCACTGGTTGATATCATTATTGCTGTTATGGCCGATAACTGATATTAATCAATATTATTTGCATCATAATAAATATTGGCAGATATGGACGCCAGTGTCATTATATCAGGGATCCATATTTTTAAGTTTCACTAAAAATTCTCAAAATAATTTAAGCCTGAGGTCGCACTGTTACTTTGCAGCAAGAAGGTCCTGGGTTCAATTTCCATCCTGGGGTCTGTTTGGAGCTTCCAAGTTCCCCCCATGCAAGAGTGGGAACTGAGAAAGAAACATAAGGAAAGAGAGAAAGATGTCTGAGTTTAACAACACTTTTATTTTTTTTATAAATATGCATTATGACATCAGAGTTTTACACCCTAAGAAACATTCACATAAACACAGAGTTAAAAACTAACCATCCATCAACCACAGAACACACAACAGTGTTAAAACACCACTGAGAGAAAAACTCAGTGAGGTTAAAAAAAACTAGAAACATTAACAAAATCTTGAAATGTTTCTTTTTTTCCCCCATTGCCTGAAACTAATTACATAGTCTTATAAAACTTTATGGAGATGTCCTGCCACCTTTCATATCGTGGCTTTTTATAAAATAACTGCAAACTTTTTTTTTTCTTTTCTTTTTCTAGCTTTATTTTTATTTTAATCACCAGTAAGTATTTTATTAGCAGGTTAGCTGCCAGAGGCTACACTGTAAATATGTGTTGATGATGAACCTCATGGACCATGTTAGCAGTTTTGCAACCTGATCCGGGTTCTTTCAGAGCGTTTTTTTTTTTTTTCTAAAACAGAGAAGACAACATGTCTTCGTATGTGTAGGTTTTTCTTAGAGAGCCCTCTTTCCGCTCCAAACTGCTTTAGCGCGGGTGGCCAGAGCGCCGCCTGTTGCCTGGATACAGGCGAAGGATTGTAAACAAACAACACACCGCAGCGAAGCTAATTAAATGGCGGCATCATTAGCAGACAGCAGATTCAGGTGACCCTCATGAGCTCAACAACTCTCTCCGTTGCGATAGATAAAAAGATTAGACGTCTCTGTCTGACTGACTTCCCCTGCGGACTCGGACCCTGGGTGAGTTTTCACTGTCCAGCTCAATATCTTTACTTCAAGGTGTACACCACTCTAATGTTTTGGGTTTTTGTGTGTGTGTGTGTGTGTGTGTGTGTGTGTGTGTGTGATTTTGATCTTAGAGACAGACCAAAAATGGTCCCGATGAAGCGAGAACAGAGTCACCAGATGTCCTGCTGGACCTGCTGAGGTACCCTCGCTCTCCATGGATGTACAACGACACCTGGAGCCCCCAAGCTTCAGATCTGAGGGAGCTGGCTGTGAGAGAACCGAAGCGCCTCAGCAAGGACTTCATACTGAATTACTTCACGACGATACGAATCACTGGCAAAAATGTACGCGTTTCAAGAGATGCACAGATATATTTTACTCTGGCCTGCTCATTAGTGCAGGATGAGCATTTAGATGACTGAAGGAAAATAATACAATTAAATGTTTTTAATCATCAAACAAACGTTATTGTAAGATAAGGACAACCTGAGTAGATAAACATTGGCAGTTTTCAAATAAAGAACTGGTTTTGCCGTCAGTGAGTCTGGAACATCACTGTGGGGAAATTTTAAACCAATCTTATTTGCACGATTGTTTTAATTCAACCATGATTTAGGTTGTTTTAGGTCATGCCACGGTGTCTTAGCTAGATTTATGTCCAGACTTTGACTAGTCCACTCCAATTTTTGTTTTCAGCTGATCAGAGGTAGACTTGTTGTAGTTTGGGAGATTTTTCTGCTGAATAACCGAACTGTGTTTTAGCTCAAACAGATGCCCTGATAATCATTTATAACAGTCCGCGCACCTTTTAAGCACTTTATCAGCAGTTTCTGAAATTGGCCAACCGATCTGTCACCACATTCAGATTCACTTAAAATGAGTCTCTTCCTCTCCTTTACGATGCTTAGTTTGAATTTTCTTTACCATGTGAAGAAGCCATCGATTTGTTTTGACCAACAACTGAACAGGCGTACCTAATAAAGTGACCAAAGAGTGCATGGACATCAGCAGAGAGATTATGTTCTTAAATGTTTTTTGTTTAATTTGTAATTATTCATTGTCCACATTAATGATAAACCTTTGTTTACACACTGTTTATAAAATTTTCATCCATCCATCCATCCATCCATCCATCCATCCATCCATCCATCCATCCATCCATCCATCCATCCATCCATCCATCCATCCATCCATACTCATTCCCAAAGGACAATCTGCAGTGACCACATAATCTTAAATGCATGTTTGGGATTATGGGAAGAAGCACCAGAATAATCAAAAGAGAAGTCAATGCATCCATGCAGTCCTAACAACAGCTACACTGTGCAGCTCCAGCTGTATCAGAGGCACATCTACTACAAAAACTTAGATAAATACTTAAGTGTTGTTAGAATAAGATGCAGTAAAAACATCTCTGCAACTCGACCAACATTAACACTATGCATGAATTTGCTGATATGGTATGGGATTACCAAAAAATGAAACGTGCATGCAACAGTAAATGTTGGGTCCCAAGCAGACGTTGGTTTATGAGTTCATCAGGCGGAGAGGGACTAACTAACAAATAAACTTTGCCACTTTTTCTGTTTCTCTCAGGTCTCATTTATTGACGAAGGCTTGTTGAAGTTCTCAAAGCTGGAGGAACTGGTCCTGAGCGGCAACTTGATCTCAGAAATCCCTGCGAAGCATCTTCCCGGGACGTTGAAGGCACGTTGAAGTGTTGCATCAGAGCGCATTGGCGCGCTGCGTTTATCAGATAAAATGATGTTTCAGTAGTTTGCACATATTAGGAAAAGCCGAGTCACGGTTAATCACGCAGAGCAGGAAACAATAAATTTTCCTCCTTCATCACCTTACATCACAACGGATTCTCCTGATGCCATCAGACGTCATGCGGTGTTACGTGCGACGTCTGAAGGTTATCTGCCCTTCAAACTGAGGGCCAAAAACCTTTGCGCTCATCTAATGGCCTTGTTGCCCTTAGATGAGCCCATAAAGGCAGATGTTGCAACCCACTGAGATGACTATCTGATTGAAAGTTTTTTTGTTTTTTTTTTCCCTACAGATTTTGGAGCTGCGTGCAAATCGGTTGTCTTCGCTGAGCGGCCTCGCAAGCTGCCCGCCTCCTCAGCTGCAGTACCTGGGCCTCGGATCAAACAGCCTGGGTTCCCATCAAGACGTCTGCGATCTTACAGGAAGACACTGGTTAATACATGTACACAGACACACATAGACGAAGCACATGCAGGAAGTTGTTGGGTTTTTAAAGAGGCAACACAAAAAAAACCAGGTCAAAAGAAAGCTCAGTTACAACTGTGGGCTTTTTGATTGCTCATGAGGTAAGGATGTAAAGCCTTTAATGCCAGCTTGTTTCACTGCACCGTAGGTTTTTCTGATTCGACAGCAGATTTCAGAGGGAACTCCCACTGAAGCTCCAGAGACGGAAACCCTAGCGACTCTTTGATTTGCTTTCAGCAAGAGAGTTCATGTTTGTATGAAATCACTGATTATTCAGTGAGTAAAAGTCAGCGAGACACAGCAGATTTATTGTTTGTGTAGCTCATATAATTTAATGATTAAGCAGCAAGCAAACGTTCTAAAGCTTGTTTTTACACATATTTCTGTTTTTGTTTTGTGCGAATTTCCTTAACCTCATTCAGATTGGACAGAGAAAATCCATCAAAGTTTTTTTTTTTTTTTAACCATTATTTGTTTAGGAGAAGCGCTTTTTTAGTGTTCATATGTGAAAACCGAGGTGCTCTTTTAGTTTGCCCTTTTCTTAAAAATGTTAACATGCTTTTGTTAACATGGCAGAGATCCTGAAGGCCAGTACAGTTAACACACCTTTTGACTTTCGCCTTCTTCAGCTCAGTTTTCATCATCTGGTTTCTGGTAAAAACCCAGGTGTTGTCATGAAAGCATTCGGGATTGATTGATCTTATTCCTGCGTGAGGTTTTTTTGGATTTATAATTCTCCGTCACGACTGGTGGCCATGCATTCGCGACTGTAGCCTAAACAGCGCATACACGAGAGTGATTGACAGCCCTCCTTCTGCCTCTGATTGGTTGTGTCTGGCAGGGCAGTGTATTCGTTCACATGAAAGCAGGGAGAAGGCAGAGGAGCTCAATATTTTTCACAGATTATCTGTCTCATATTATAGTTCCACGACATATTGACGGTTTTAACAAATATGTAAAAACCATATATATATTTTTTAATAACCATTACATACTGCAGCTTTAATCAGCTGGTTAAGCAGAATGGCAGCAGGTTGAACAGCAGTTGAATCCCGCTGCTGCTGCTTCCTGACTCTTTCTGCCCGCAGGCCCTGTTTGGCGTGTTTGGACCTCAGCAACTGTAACTTCCAAGAGCAGCGACTTCTGGTAGCCACCTTAGAAACTCTCCCATGCCTCAAGACCCTGACGCTTAAGGGCAACCCCTTCACCATGACGCCGTCGTATCCAGGTTTCACTGTGGACAGCCTCCCGCAGCTCAGCTGCTTGGACTCCTCGTGGCTCACCACAGAGGAAAGGTACAACTTCTTCGGCTTGGCCAGGATAAATGGTGAGCGCATGAAATGAGGACGCCTCGTTTGGCGCATCGGAAGTGCAAACCTGTTGAGAGATCAAAGTCTCCTTTGCTGTCACAGATCTGGTGGAGGACGTGGCATCAGTCACACTGAGTCTGACCAGGCTGAGGGGAATACCAGACCCGCTGATGCATGTGGATAAGAAGGCTGTTGAGTTTCCAATCGTCACCTACAAATACTTCGTCTCATATCAGTTCTTTAGTCGTCATACGCCTGATCATCAGGTGATTTATCCTTCCTACTCCTCAGTGTCACACACACCTTTGATTTAACGCGGTTTAACGTCATTTCATTGGCATCTTGTTTTTATTTCTGATTTAAGGATTTCATCTGATCAGAATAATAACTCAGATATCTTAATATTTGTTGGGCCTCAAAACTCGACATTTATGGTTTTATGGAGCCTGTAATTATTAGAGCATTAGCTTATTCAATTGAGTCAAATTTCTTACTTATGTTGCTGCTGTTTGTAATTTTCTTTGTTTTATCAAAGCAGGTCTCTCTTGCAAACAAGATTTTGGATTTCATTTAGACAATCCATATAAATATAGGTCAAATAAAAATGTAAAAAAAACTTTAAAATGATATTTTCCTCACACAGTCCTTTATCATATTTCTCACAGAAAAAGAGAAAAAAAAATTCTTATTGTTTATTCTTGATTCTTTTTCTTATTTGGCTACATTTTAAAGATTTTAGTCCAATACAGCTTCATTTGAAAAGCACGTTATGTTACCGCAAGGATCAAAGTTGCTGTAAAAAGTACATAAAAACATAAAAATTGCAATTACAAAGACACAAAAACATAAAATACCAGAATATAAAACACTTTTAAATTGCATAACTGGCCAGGCAGTAAAAAACTCAAGTCAACATCTCATCTGGTGTCAAAAGTCAAAGCAAAGCAAGGAGTTATAGGAAATGATCTAAAAACAGTGATGTAGCCTGTTTGCTGAGCAGTGATAACTCATTTCATGGACAATTTACAAAGTTGCTTTGCCACTTCTTATCATAAAACAACAATTTTATCTTGATGTTGAGCCTTTTCTGTTCCACAGCCGGCAGAGTTGTGTCAGATAAAAGCATGCAGTCAATTTGTCACTTAGTGACAAACTTTTATCCAAACTTTAATCGGGGTATTTTCACTCATTCCGTTTTAGTCACGGTGAATCACTTATTATTAGAAAAACACACCATAAAATCTTAACAAAACTCTTGTTTTTTTTTTTTTAAATCACTAAAGTTGTACTTTTAACTCCACACCAAAAGTCAAAAGTGTTTTCGACATTCACACCAATAATGACTGTAATTAAACATCTGACCAGAACTGGACTTTCCCCTTGAGAAAACACAACTTACCGTAAGTTATAACTACCAAACTTCATATATGAGTAAAAATTCAAAGCATAAAATGATTCTCCCTTGTTACAGTTTCAGATACTATTACAATATTTTCCAACATCTGTCATGGTTTTAAAAACTTTGTATCAGATGATCTCTGACTCAAAAAGAGAAACAGTTACCAAGTAAAACTACGACATGAAAGGAAAGTGCATGAAAGTCAAAATACTTCATTCTTTTTCCTAAAGCTGTACACAGTTTTCCTATTTGAGGAGGTGCGATCCACAGTTACGCTTCACGGCCTTTCCCGTTCTCGTCTCGTCTCGTCTCGCCTGCAGGGAGAAGACGGCAACCTGGACACGTCGTCTCGCGTGACAGAGGACAACTCTGTCCGTCCAGACCCAGGATCAGATAGAAACACTGGGAAAAGCGTGTCCGCCCTGGACACTGCCGACGTCCCCGCAGTCGATGCGTACGAAACTGAACAACGTGAGAACGCCGTCCTCTTTTAAGCTTTGCACATTTTAGGTCTTCTGCCAGCATGCCTAGGTGGGCCCCATGTGGGGAAAAGGAGGGCAGACTATATGGGTCCCATATGGGTTTGTCCGCGGGTTCCATGATGGCCCCACATGGGTTTGCCCATGTAGGGCCAGAGCCCACATGGGCCCTATATGGTGGTGGCCCACATGGGTTTGTCCATTTAGGGCCCATGTAGGGCCCATGTGGGCTGTGGCCCTAAATGGGCAAACCCATGTGGGGCCATCGTGGAACCCGCGGACAAATCCATATGGGACCCATATATCAGCCCTCCTTTCCCCCACATGGGTCCCACCTAGGCATGCTGGCTGAAGAGGTGGCTTTAAAAACAGATACAAAAAATCGTATTAGTCAGTGAGAGATTATACGTTCTGCAAAGCAGAGATGGGCTTTTGCTTTGTAAATCTGATTTACTCAGAGGACAGACATCAGAGACGGTCCTTTATTTGTCCTCAGTTCAGCTTTCTCTGATCTGTTGAAATTGTGACAAAAAAAAAAAAAATTCTCTCTTCAACTCTCCTTTGATTTGAAGTGTCGCTGTACGCAACACCAAAACTGTCGTGGTCCGAGTGCGCGGACTTGAATTACACGCTGGCTTACAGGATCAGCTGCCTGGGAGACCTGAAGAAATTCTTTACTCACGGACTCCATCTCAATCTAATGGAGGAAAAGGTGCGAGAAACAATATCTGCTGGGCAATTTTAGGCAGGAAAATGTCTCCCAGCTTATTTTAAACATCTGATATTCTAGACTCTGTCGTGGCCCGCGCCCTCCGAAGAAGCCCAGCACGTCAAACCCAGCCCGACTAAAGACAAGAAAGGCAAGAGCAAAGAGAAAGTGAGTTTATTATTTCATCACCATGAAACCACACACTGTGAACAACTGGCTAGGATTCATTGATCCATTTAGTTGATCAAAATGTTGCAACCGTTAGACAACAAAGCGGACAAAAAACCCACTTTGAACGATCACAGGACAAAACGATTGCAACAGAAACATAAAAGAATAAGAAGAGAGTGAATATTGCAGGTTAGGTTCACTCACAGTGCACTGTGGAGGCAATTCTGGTTGAAAAAAAAAAAAATCAGAATCATTTCTGGTTAATTATTTAACCGGAAACAAATTAAAACCATCTGAAAGTCAGATGAGTTGGCTAATTGAAACTCCAAATAGGAATTTGGTTTTTGTAAAAAGATGATGTTGCATTGAAACAGACCTGAATTCAGACCACTAGTTTGGTTAGAAAACACAAATCAAAGTTTATATATGCGTAAGAGTTAATTCTTCAGTTTATTTCCATGTGTTTGGAGCTCACTGATAGCGAAGCCAAGCTACTACAGCAAATAGGTGATTTATCGTCAGAGATTTATTTACTTTCTCCGAATTCATCATTATGCTTTTCCTGAGATTACTCAGCCTTTACCCAGAAAATGATGTCATCATCTTTGTAGGCTTCACAACATTTGAGAGGCACACCTATGGAGGTGTTTTAGGTACACCTTAAAATCCCTGCTTCCTTGTGTTGTGACAACGTGGGGAGCGGAGGATGAAGAAATTAGCCAAGCTGCTGGTCCATGATGAGACTTGTTCACCTTCACACATCTGGTTTGACCCGGGGTACAATTTCCAAATAAATAAATGCGTCACTTTCACCTGTACCAATGACATGCAGGTGTAACCGTGTTGCGTTCTGAAGCAACACCTGAAGACATCAGATCACAAACTCTCAGTGCCACAGCAAATCTGTGGGCAGAGCGAAGAAAGGTTTGGTGAGGCTAATGGTAAAGCTGGTACATGCTAAGAAGATGAAGCTAAAAGTCCAAAGTTGAAGAAAGTAAACAAAAAAATCATTTAGCAGCGATATAAACGGTGGTAATTAAGGGCTGATTTTTGGGCTTTATTTCATCTAGCAGCACTTTTACTGTAGTTGCATAATTTATTTTGTGAAGCTATTAACACATCATTCAGGATATGACTAACTATCTGTTCACATTTTTGCAGACCAGTGAACTCCTGTTTATAAAAAGAGTTGCTTTGTGAATCAGAATCGCCGTGTTGTCTAGACAGAAGAATTCTGAGAAACTATGGAAGTTTATATCAACCCTTTGATACATTGTGACGCAGTAAATATGTATCTTGTTGCAACTTTTAAGAATGTTTAGTTGATAAAACCGATATTTTATTCTTGAAGTTTCGAGAGTTGAGATATTTTTCTTAGTGTTCTGTGTTGCTTTTGGTCAGTATAATTAACCTGTTTTATTAAAAACAACTGTAATAAGTTCGACTTTATACATGAAATGTAGTTTCTAACAAAGCAAAAGTGCTGTTAGATGGTGTTAAAATAGAAAAACATTCACATGGCATCAAGTTTTTGTTCTCTTTTTCAGGTTAAAACGCCTCCCAAAGCTAAAAACAAAAAGAAAAAAGGTCCTCCGGAGCTGGTCCACGACCCACCTATCCGAAAACTACTCAACTCAGTTCACATCCCCATGCAAAGCCTGGTCCAGGGGGGTCAAAGGGTCAGTTCTGTCTGCGACTTTGGTCCGCTGCACGTGGAGCCTCCACCAAAACAGGAGGAGGCAAGTTTATGTTGCACTGTCCATTAAACCCGTCACTGAGGCTGAACAGAAACAACGTGAATGAATTATCAGCTAAGATGGAGAACCTGGTTTACATGCAGGTTGTTTTCACTCATCTTAAGGAAACTGAAAAGAAACCGAAAGGAGACAAGAAGGACAAGACAAAGGACTGCAAGGAAGCAAAGGAGAAACAAAAAAAACACACCGAACCTCAGAAAAGTCCAAAAGGTAAATATGAGTAAAAGTTACTCTGCGTCACGTAGGACGTTTGCTCAGGACGCCACCTGCTCTCTTTCTGCACCCCAGGAAAGGGGAAAGACGCAAAGAAACGCGACATGGATGAGCACACGGTCCCGCCCGTCCCGGTCCCGCCGGTACCGGTGACTGTGGAGCTGAGTGTGGAGCTGGAGAAGTGGAAGTCGGTGTCAGACGCTTTTCATTCCGTAACGCCTGTAGAAAACGGCTGAATCGCAGAGCCGAAGTCGACACGAAAGCATTCATGAAAAAACATGAATGTGTTCTTCAAGCCATGAGAACTTTATTTTAGCGGCATGAAATTAAATGCACAGCTGACCAAATTTACACAGCAGTATTTTCTCAGTATGGTGTAAAAAAATCCCCAAACATCTACATCCATTTCCCTGTAGGAAGAAGCCAGACTTTCTTGTAAACTTCAGCAGTGAGACCAACCTGCTGGAGGGTAAACCTTCACTTTCGTCTCTTTGTTTTACAGCTCGTATAATTTTCTAATGATTGCATCCACCTTCCCGTCACCAACTCTGCAGCTTCCAAGTCCCTGCAGAAGAAAAGCATCCGGACAGCATGATGCTGCCTTCACCGTGCATCACCATGGTGATGTGCAGAGTAGACCTTCGTTTCTCTAATCCTTTGACAGGCTCATATTTTTTCACAAGTTCACCGTTTCCACATCATCATCAGTTTAGATGAATGTCTTGTTTGCATCCGAGCCATAATTTATTCTTTAGCGATTTGAAATATCCAGACTTTAACAATCTTTTATGACCCAACTCATCTGCCGTCTCCAATGTTCACAAACAGAAACGCTGGACTGACGGATTAAATTACACACAGAAGAACTTTTCTGGAAATTACTGGTTCCACTGAATTTTATTGAGGGGCATCAGAAGTAAGAAGGCTGAAACTTGAGGCACACTTTAATTTGTGAATTTTTAAAAACACTTCCTTGCACCTCATCGCCGAACCCTTCTGAAAACATTTACAAGGCAAATCTGCAAAAAAAAGGAAAAAAAGAAAGAAAGAAAAACACATAACCTTACCAAGTATTTTTGGTCTAGTTTCTAATATAAATATCTTGGTTCTGTCTTATTTCAGGTGTACCGACTAATACGTAACTTTCCAGCACAAAATAGGCATTTAAGTCAATAATTTCTTAATATTGATGAAAAATTACTAACGCACTGGCAGATAGTTAGCACCTTTTCATCAGCATTAAGGAATTGTTGAGTTAATCTCATTTTTCTTGCTGAAAAGCTATTTGTAAGTTAGTTTTGTCCCATTTCGAGTGTACCAAGATATTTGCACTAGAAACCAGACCAAACATATTTGGTAAGGCTTTGAAGCGTGTACCTTGATGGTTTTGGCTTCAATGTACCACAAATCTACAGATGTCTAGAAGAAATTAACATAAATTATGATTACTGTTCATGACTGCATGCAGACACTTTATTCATCCATAAATTTTATTTTCATACAGATATTTAAAACTTATCAAAACATGTCAAAGTATTCATTGATGCAAAAGGAAATCAGCTTCATTAATTAGAAACTTCCTGAAAAGGCCATAATAACAGGAATCAAAGGTTTACAGTAGGTGAGAATCTTAATAAATTTCCCAGCATCCATTTCAAAAGGACCATAGAAAGTTAAACCGATTGGAGCCAAAGAGCTCCGGGTTTCACCGCTCCGCTCCAGACTGTCCCCGTCATAAAGTTACATTATTAAACCTTTTAAAGAGTACCCCCTTCCCGGGCAAAAAAAAAAAAACTAAAACTTTTCGTTTTTTTTTTTTTTTTTTTTTTGTTGCTCAAAACTGTTTTCAATCAAGTATTTTACAGTTTCAAATACACAGTTTAATATACTATATTATCTCTGTAGCCCCTGACAATCTGTGCAAACAGCGGTCGGATACTGATAAATTAGCTAAACTGAAGGCTCACCACGTTCCCCATCACCCTTTCAGAACCAGGATGCTAAACATCCAGTGTCGTTCCCACTTACGAACGGCTGCCACTTTCTGTAACTTCTGGATTGCCTTAACTTTTGGGAAACATGCCGGGAACCGTTCTTCTACAAGGCAAGTGTGGACAGCAAATATGCTTGGCAAAAACAAGCATGAGAGATACACACAAGCTGAGACCCGGAAAAGAACGGCGCGACCAAAGATGTGCAAATGTATTGATTGTGCGAACGGCGGTTTTAGGAAGGCTTTAGAAGGTCTGGTCGTCGGTGCAGGACGCGGTCCAGTGGCCGAAGACCTCGCAGGTCTCGCAGTATGGCCGCTCTTCACCCTTACTGCCGTGGTAGGTGGTGTGAGGAGGGGAGTCGGGCATCTGCTCCTGTAGGGGGCAGTCTTCCGTCTCGTGGAGATCAAAGCAGTCGCAAATGTCGCAGAACTTCCTCGGAGGAGGTTTCTTCTTTTCTGGCTGCTTATCGTAACTGCAGGAGGAAATAAAGGCACCTCTCTTGAGCTTCAGTCAAAGGCAAAAGTAAATACGGGTAGTCTGCTTTGACTAGGACTTACTCATTATCCAATTCGCTTGGACTATTCCCATTGAGGGCAGCGGCTGCCATTTTCTCCAGTTTGTCTTTGAGCTCTTCATTCTTCCTCTGGAGGTCGACAATAACTGAATTCAAGAACTCAACCTGCAGGGAAAAGAAACCCGGAGCATCATTTCTGCCTCGTGTAAAACAAAACCAGAACAAGTCTTCTTACCAGGGTTTCTGTAGGCTTCAGCAACATGAATTTAACGTGTTTTAAATCCATTTTAAGAACATTATTATTTACATTTGAAACTCAAAGTAACACATGAGAAAGACTTCACAGCTGAAGCAACGTGAGCTCTGATGAGACTTAATCTGTTTTTAGACAAAACTTTGACTATGGAGGAAATTGTAGATTTAATAAAGAGACGGTGAATAAAAAGATGTATATTTGAAAGTATGTTTGAATGTGAACAATGATTTATTATAATTTGAAGTCATTTTAAAGTTATATTTTCATATTTCTATTCCTGCCGCCAACTATATGTGCTGTTATTTTAGCGCGTAGATCAGGGACGTCAAACTTTAATTTTGGGCCACGTGCCATAGATTGTACCGCTGCCTCAGTTTATACGCCCAGACTTAAAACAGACTCTGTTTATATTAACTCTTTTCTTTCTACTTCATTCATTTTTCATTTAAGGATGCATCACGGATGTGGCGTTAACTGGAACACTGATCGTTATATTTGCTTAATTATGGAAGTTGTCAAAATGTAAAGTTCATTGCTTGCTTCATGGCGACCATCGTGTTTTTATGGCGTAAAAAGAAAACTTTGAACCGCCTTGTTCCTGAAATGTGCTGTAGAAATAAACTTAACTTTAAAACTAAATGGGAGCATTTAGGTTCTGAATCGACTAAAGTTTTTTTTTTAAACTGCTTTTCACCGTTTCACAATGAAGCTGAACTTTCTCGTAGCACCTTGTCGATTTTACCAAGCATAAAAAAAAACACCCACATTCATCCAGGATTGCATAGATATCTTGAATATTAGCTGTGTGTCACCACATCCCCTCTAATGATCACGAGGTGGTGATTTTCTGCCGAGTTGTCAGCTTAAGATAAATCAACGCTTGTACTGAGTCACTGGGAGTGTAAGAAAAATCTCCCAGTCTGAGTGTTTCAACGAGAAACCAATCTGATATCTACGGTACCCTTTCGACCATCAGATGTTTTTACTTGGGATGTAATTAGGGCCTGATTAAGTACTGATGAAACAAGCGTGATCGATCTCTAGGTGACATGACAAATAAATTGTGGTTTAAGTGAATGGAAGCCACAGTGAGAAGCATGCACAGATGGAGATGATGAGAAACTTGAACAAACCGCTTCCTGATGGAGGTGTAGCAATGCCAACATCAGAAAAAGCACAGAAGAGGCGGATTTAAAGAGAAAAAGATAAAAAAAAAAAAAAAAAAGGTAATCAAAATCGGCAGCGGCCCCACACTGTGACAGACATCACACTTACATCATCGCAGACACAGATAGTTCAGGGTGACTTAGGACCATAAACGGACGAGGGGAGGGGAAGCTGACATGCTGATGAAGTGAGGCTACAGGACGTTAATGCAGAATTAATCTGTGGAAACTTAGATGATCACGTCAGAAAGATCTACACCTCTGTCTAAATAAATTAGAATGCTGAAAAGTGAATTTATTACTTCAGGAATTCAATTCAAAACTTAAACCGATTCGTTACCCACAATGCTAAAGTTCACGTATTTATTTCTGTGAATTTTGAAGATTCTGGCTTACAGCGAATGAAAACCCAAGTCAGTTTCTCTGTATTTTACAATATTTCCAAACATCACTAATTACAATAATAATTAATAAAGACATAATTAATGGAGAAATGTTATGTTCCACACAAAATGGCTAACTTGTTTGTTCAGCTGACAGTCATCGACTAATCACACCCACACGGAGGGTAAACTACTGAAGATTGTTGCTGAAAAAGGTTTTCCTCACGCATCATAAATGATGAAAGTTAAGTGGGAAGACAAAGTTTGGTTGTAAAAGGTTCACAAGTAGCATGGACTACTGGTTCTACTAGAGTAGAGGTCTTCAACTCCAGGCCTCGAGCGCCGCTGTCCTACAAATTTTACACATCTAGAGGTTGGATGATATCGGACCTCGAGGCTTGGAGCTGGAGACCCCCGCTTCAGAGGATGGGGAAGCAAAACCTCAATCAGGGATTTGGAGGAAACTAGGCTGTGACTAGAGTCCGAACTCAAAGGGCCAGTGTAAGCAGAAGTACCCAGTGTGCAGGAGATGGACTACTTTAAGTGCCAAGACTCTCCTTTACCAGAGACAACGTCAGGAGGATCTTACCTGGGCTAAGGAGTTAACGCTCTAGATTAGGTGCAACGGCTTCTCTACAGATGATGATACAACTGCTTCGAGTCCAGTGCGACGTTTCTACAGCCAGTGATGGGTTGTTAGGTCGTCTACTGGTGCTGGTCCACTGTGTTTCATCAGGATCACAGTCAGCACAGCCCTCTCTTTACCCGGGGGGGGGGGATTCTACAGCACTTCATACTTCCTTTAACTAAGAAACTATATAGAGATGCTGATTTCATTTTCCAACAGGACTTGGCAGAATCCCACACAGCTAAAGGTACAAAAAGCCGGTCCAATCACCATAGATACAAGATCAAAGATGGTCCCAGGATTGTACTTTGTTTTTTTTTTTCTTGTTTGTGCACAATCTTGGCCAATAAAGCTCGTTGTGATGATGTTGCTGTGCTGGACTGGCCTGGAAACACTTCTGACTTGAACCCCACACAGAACATTTACGGGACGTGGTTAAGAGGAAGATGAGACGGACCAGAGAAACTAAAGGCCACTACTGAAGCAACCTGAGGCCACCCAAGCAGAGCTACAAGGCAGCTCACATTCATGCCGTGTTGATGCAGTAACTCATGCAAAAGGAGAGCCGAACAAGTATTGAGTGTCTATGCGACACGACAGAAAGTGAAATTTGGGTTTTCTTTAAGTCAGACATTATCCTGCTTGTTTCAAGTCCTTCCCTGGTTGAACAGAGTGGACTTGCTGAAGACGTAATTCAGTCATTTTAATCAGCTGCGCTTAGGGACGCATGTAAAACCTGCAGGACTCTGATGCGACACTCCTAATCCAAATTATAGACTGGAAAATTTCAAGGCTTCAAATATATCCATGTGTGTGTAATGACCGTCTTCAATTTAGAATATGCTTGAACGTTTTTTGACAGACATGCCCTTCTGTAACTTAAAACATTTTATTGCAGTACCAGTTCTCACCAAGCTACGAAGACTGAAGCAGTATGAATTAGTATTTAAGAAGTTAGTACACACTGATGCCCCGTACTCAAGTCTTATGTTAATTGGAATGTGGTTACTATAAGAAAACTCAGGGGAAAAAAAACAGGAGGAATGTTCTTTTATTCAGGATTAGTGAGACTGCCAGACCTGACTCTCTGCAGTCTCCTTATCTTCTCTCAGTTGGTCCAAAACCGCATCTCCTGAAAACAGAAGGAAGTCAGAGCCACTTCTTTTCTAATCACTGAGCTGGAAGCCGTGTTCGCTTCGGTTGTTTGAAATGCCGCCGTACCCGAGGTCAGGTTGAGATCAGGCCTGGCAGCGAGGTCCTTCTCCAGTCTCTTTACGCGATCCTGTAGATTAGCTTTATCCTGCTCCAAAGTCTCAATTGTATTCTGGAGCGTCTTAATAGAGGCACTTTCTTCCCGCACTGCAACCAACTGTAAAGAAAACAAGATAATCGTTTCAATATAATTTAACACACGCTGGACAAATGTTACCATTTATCAATTCATCCACCAAATTTCACTTTCAGATGAGAAGGAGCTGCAAAAACAAAAAAAAACAATGAGTAATAATGCCTATGATTCAATAATGCCATCATTTATGGAGTTCAGATACGAGATGTCAATCTCCAAGCGAAAGTTTAAATGAGCTTTTAGAGAAAAGAAACATTACAGATGTAAATCTGATTCTGCGAAGACGATAAAACGTGTCAGCACTGACAGAGGTTTCCAGATAGTCATCTTCAAAGTCATGAGGAGGAGGATTGTAAACACATAAAAATGAAAGCAGGTCATTATTTGACCCAGAAGTGATATCCTGTCAGAAGTGTCTCTTGAAGGACTGGTGGGTCTGGTTTTTGCTGTAGAAAGGAAATGACGCTAAAAGCTTCATTTAGGATTCAACAGATTGAAAAAGCAGGTCTTGATAAATGTCAAAAATGCTAATGATGTGAGATAAAGTAAAATGTCAGATTTCTTCCTTACCTCACGCTTCAGTTTCTCCACCTGCTGGTCCTTTTCTGCAACTAAGGCACCGTTTTTATGAATGGACTGCTGGAGGGCAGCCTTCTCTCCACTCAGCTGCTCCCTCAGAGCGTTTTCACTGTTGAACACAGAGTATCCACTAAATGTCAGAGAAACAAAAACTCTGCTTAACATTCATTTCTAGATAACCTTTGATGTGAGTTCATGGCAAATACTTCAATAGCAAACGGGCTTTAAAAATGGAGACCTTCCGAGACAAAATACAGAAGGATGGAGGAGAGGTAGGTCATGAAAGACGGACAAGGAGGCAAAGAAGAAAAGCAAGCAAAGCAGGCAAGACACAGAATATAGGCAGGAGTTGAGGAAGAAAGGAGAGACGGAAAGGAGAAAGACGCAACGTGGAAGAAAGGACGCAAGACACCCCTGTGTCTTGTCTTGTGGGAAGGACAGACCGAAGAGGAGGCAAGGAAGGCTGGACAGAAGGACGCATAGCAACGTAACAACAAACAGGAAAAAGGAGATGAAGGAGGAAGAGAAAACACAAGGAAGAAAAGGACATTTACAAATGGAAATGAGAACGAAGCCTGGCAATCTGAAAATTTCCCACACTCCAATCCAAATTTCTTTTCAAACACTCCCAGATCGGAGAGAACCGTGAAAAAATGTTATGCAAAGAGAAAAAGCCTCCAATTTCAAAGCAATTACTACTCAGCCAGGACTTTGGCATAAAACAGACATTTAACAAATCTGGAAAAAATGTTGTGCATTTCTAAATTTAATAATGAATCTTAGAACAAAGAATGAGACACAGAGCATGTCTGCCAGGCAGCTGAGGTCAAACATGTCAATAGATTTTTCTTATGCGGTGACTGCAGACAAGTCATGATATCAGAAAGCATCAAGTACCTGAAGACATTATTTGGCAGGCTTTGAAGGGAAAGAAGTGTGATAAATCAGCCATTTAATTCAAGGACAATATATATTATTAAATGCCAATTCTCATGGAACCATGCAAGCTTTAACACACAAAAAAAAAAACTCTTAAAAGATACAATATGTACATTGTGTGATTATCTGACAACGCTGGAGTGATAAAAACATGATTAGTTTACCTTCGTTTCAACTCTTCCAACTCTTTCTTGAGTTTTGAGTGCTCATCAGTTAGCTTTGGGGGGGGGGGAAACATACACGTTTAAAAACGCTGAATTGACTTCAACTGTTACATATAAACGCAGTACAACAACGATATTGATGCCAGTACCAGTGACCCTCACCGTCCCCAGATCTCCCTGGTCTTTGTGATTGTTCGCCAGCTCCTGAGACAGCCTTTTGTTTTCCTCTTGAAGACTCTGCAGAGTCTGCGACGTCACAGATGCCGCTTCTTTAAGCTCCTCACTTATGAAACGTAAAATGATGAAATTACCCAACTGTCGGGCTGACAATATATGTTCAAACCATAAATAATGTGGTAAAGTACGATGGATTTAAAATCACTTCCATCTTGGAAAATTCACACAATCCAAGATGAGTTGTACTCACACTTCCTGGCAAAGACTCTTCAGCCTCTGTGTTTCTGTGGAAAGCTGCTCTTTGGATGTGTTCAGGTCTTCTTGATACTTTAAATTCCCTTTTCTCAATGTTTCCAGCTAAAACAAGAAAAGATACGTCAATAACCAGAAGTCTAAAGCTAAAAGATCATTTCACTGAACTCTTCCTCATGCCGCCCGTCTCTGTTAAGTCCCCACCTCAATGTGGCAGAGGTTTTCAGTCCTTATGATCCTGAGGGCCAAACTGCTCAGAGCTTTGTTTTAATCTCCCATGGCATGTTCCATGGTCGTTCACTTCTCCAGTCTACATGCGTTTTGTGGATCTGGAAAAGGCTTAGGAATGTGTCCCAAAGGTATTCTGTGTTTGTCGAGTTGGACTCTGTCAGGACTGCCTCCTCTCACTGATCCGGTTTGTTTTGTTCATGGACAATACCTTAAGTTTTGGTCTTGAAAATAAGAGTCGGGGTTGAAAAGCTCAGGGTCATTGTTTGTTTGCAGATGATGTTGGGTTTTTCAAGCCATTACCTTCAGCATGCACTGGGGTGGTTTGCAGTCGAGTGTCAAGCAGCTGGGATGAGAGTCAGCTCCTCTAAGTCTAACAGTTCTTAACCAGAAAGAGATCGGCTGCTCTCTCTCTGAAGTGTGATTAAAGTAAATTTCTAAAATTTTCTTTTACTTTAGAATGGCGATTACAAACATTTACAATTAAGCATTTTCAGCATGTGGATTCTAATACAAAATACATTCAGCAGTTGAAAAACTTCCAAGGATTTTTATCCAAACATTTTTTTTTATTACCTCAAAAATCTAAAATTAAGTCTTAAACATTTAGAAAGTTTCAAAGTACCTCTGAAAGCTCAGATAAAAAAAAAAAAAGCCAAGTTCATCTCTGAACTACTGCATCGCTGGCGTTCCTTCTGACCCAACCAGTCTCTCACCTGAGTCTGGATTTCGTCCTTGGAGCGCTGCAGTGCCTCCACCAATGACTGAGCTTCGTTCTTTTCCTTCAGCAAAGCTTCTTTCTCCTTTACGAGCTTCTCAAGAGCGTCAGCGGCGTTACCAGAAGCCTAAGCGGTGGGATTAAGACACTTAGTGAGATGAGCAGCTTTACATAAAACCAGCAAACTGACGTTAAAGCTAAAGAATCTCATTCTTGTGTGATCTGAGGTTTGGAAACCACGTACAAGTGCATGTTTTTACAATACAATTATTTCAATTTAATAAGTAGTAAATTAACAACATGCTGTTCTATTGAGACACTTTATCACCGATTAACAGACTGACACTTTAAAAAGTGTATTAGAACGTTGTATTTTTCGAAGCTCTTGTTGACGATTACCACCACAATTACTGCAACCTGTGGCCTCAGAACGGAGACTGAAAAAATTTGCGAATGCTTCCTGCTCATCAAAGGAAGCATTAGACCAGCCTCTTTGGATTAACACATCCAATAAACTGCATCAAATGGTTGGCTGCAACAAGGCGTTCAAAGTCCAACTAAAATTAAATTAGCCTACCAGTAGCTCACGTTATAAGTCCACAGGCAAAAGCTGGGAGCTAAGGGTAGTAAACAGAGGTTAGTAAATGGAGGATGAAAGTTAAGACGTGAAATTAAAAGGGAGACAAACTAGCAAGCATGCAATGTGAAGGCGGCAAAGCCCCAGCACCACTAGAATTGGTACTGGAGGAGAAATACCTCAAGCTGCTTAGAAATAGCGTTTTTTAGTTGCGACTCGAGCTCCCTGACTTGCTGGGCGGCTTCATCCCTCTTAGCCTGCAGGGCGTTCTTCTGAGCCGACAGCTGCAAAACGCTGGAGGATATTTCTTCTTTCACCACAGCAGACGCAGACGCCTCCTCGAGAGCATTCTTGTACCGTTTTTCCAAGTTTATCGTCTCAGTTTTTTGGGCCTGGAGTTCAGTCTGCAGCCGTTTGTTGCTTGCTTCCAAACACCTCACCTTTTTAAGAAGCTCCGACTGTTCGGCGAGTAAGGTTTCTTTCTTGGCGCAAAGAGAAGACGTCTCCTGCTTCAGTTCAGACTGGCTAGCTAAAAGCTCTTCCTTCACCGATGTCAACAGAGTCATCCGTTTGTCCATTTCCTCAAGCCTAGTTGCCAGCTGTTCCCTATCTTGGCCCAACTGATGGTTTTCTTGCTCTCGCCGTTTTAATTGTTCTTTTAGAGATTCCATTTCTGCCTTAAAAGACTTATTTTGTTCATCAGCATTCTTGCGGTGAAAAGATATATCTTTGTTTTCCTGCATTACTTTGGACAAAGTGTTCTGAAGTTCTTCAATTTGCTTAGACAAACCATCTTTGTCAGCTTTTGCTTTAGTGATTTCACAGTTTTCAGCTTGTAGAGTCATCTCAAGCAGGTCCTTCGCCTCCGACAGAGATGTCATCTGTTTTTTTAACTCCTGGACTTCCTGCAGCAGAACTTGGTTCTCCTTCTGGAAAGAATGGACTTTCTGCTCAGCTTCGGTCTGCAGAGACTGAAGATGATGATGGTCCTTTTTAAGGTTATCTACCTGTTGAGAAAGCTCCAAGTTGGACTTCTGAAACTCCGCTTTTACTTTATTATGATCAGCGACAAGTTCAATTTTGGTCTTTTCCAGAATTTCAACATCAGAGCAATGTTTCCGCAGTTCATTCTGTAGGTCAGTCTTTTCTCGTTCCAGAGTGGTGATCTTGGCTTCCAGCTCATCTTTTTGATACTTAGTTTCTTCAAGCTTTGTTTCCAGATGACTCTTCTGTTGAAGGAGGTCAGCATTGGTTCTGCCATAACCATCCAACTGGCTCCTAGTTGTGCGATTGTCACCAGCGAGCTTCTCACGCTCCACAGAAAGAGTCTCCTTCTCAGATAAGGCCTTGGTATACTTCCCTTCCAACTCTCCCTTCTCCTCCTCCAAACGCTCAAAATCCGTCTTCTGCTGCTCAAGAGCTGAATCCAGGCTCATCTTTTCTTTACGCAAGTTGTGAAGTGTCATCTCCATTTCAGAGTTCTGTAGACGCAATGCTTGTTTCTCCTGCTCAAAAGACGATGATGCCTCGTTATATTTTTCGTGAGAAAGGGACAACTGTTCCGTCAGGACATGGAGCTTCTCCTTGAGCTCTTGCAGCTCTCTGAAAAGGTTGTCTTTCTCACTAGACACCTTCCTCTGGGATGCAAGCAGGTCTTCTTTTTCCTGCAATAGGGTGAGCCTTTCAGAATCTGTCACTTGACTGTTTGTCTTGAACTCTTCAAGCATCTGGGCCAAGCTGGCTTTAGAGGCTTTCAGCTCTTCACATTCACGAATTTGACTCTCCAAGTCTTTCTTGGTTTGGCCGAGTTTGTTTTGGAGCTCCTCCTTCTCCGTCTCTTGGTTCTTTTTCTCCAGAGCAGCAGCGCCGACTTCAGACGACAACTCGGCTTTCTCATTTGTCAGGGTTTCTACCCGAGACTGGAGCTGCACAGTCTTCATCTTAAGGTCTTCTTTTTCCAAATTCAATGACTTCACTTTTTCCTGCAGCTCAGCATTTTTAGCGTCAAGAGACTTCCGAGCATTTTTTGCAGAATCTCGCTCTAATATCAGATCGTGTCTCTCACAGGTGAATTTTGACTCCTTTTCCTTGAGGTCCTCTTCCAGCCGGCTCTTCTCTTTGCAAACATTTTGATAATCCTCAAGCAGCTGCTTCCTTTTAGACTCGGTTTGCTCGACGTCCAACTGATGCTTCAAGACAGAGTCATTCATCTCAGCATTTTCTCTTTGAAGCTCCTTAATTTGAGTCAAATATTCACCTTTACCACGATGCAGTTCTTTGTTTTCGGCCTCTGCTTCCTGCAGCAGGTGTTTGAGATTCTCCAGTTCCTTCTTCAGTGAAGTCCTCTCTTCATCTAATTGCTTAGTACTGGTCTGTAGTTCCTCTTGAAGTTTTGAGAGTTTATCATTAGTTGCCAGGAGCTCTTCATTCTGCACTGAAACCTCTTTGCAACTAATCTCAGTGACAGAAAGTTTATTTTGCAACTCAGAAAGCCGCCTCTCCAGATTGCCTCTCTCAGCTTTATGATCTTCACTTTGCTTAAACATGTTTTCCAGATCAAGACTCTGCTTATCCAGTTTTTTTGACATATTGTCAACGTAGGAGTCAAGCTCAGCAAAAAGCCGCGGGAAAAAAAAAAGGTAAAAAAAAAAAAGAGGGGGGGATATACACACAGGGCAATGCATGAATAAATACAAAATAAACCATCTAGTCATGGATACAAGTGATATGCAAATGGAAAGGTTAAGCCTCAGAAGCATAAAAATCAGAAAGGGGGTCACACCAAAGCTTTCAACCACAAACTGTGGAGGCAGAAAATTTTCACATCGACTAAGAAACCTTTTCGATAACAATGGCATCAATACAAATAAAGGTAATTAATATCAACATAAAAGGCGTGTAGATTGCCAGGGTGTTACCACTAATGGCGGCATGAATACAATGCACTTATACAGTATTACAACAGAAAATCATTTGAGTAACACCATAATTTTTTTTTCTATTAAGAAAATTAAATTGCCAAATTTCTGTAATTCTTGTGTCTTAAATGTCTAATAACACAATTACAGGCTTGTCTATTAATTATCAAACTTTGTGTGTTTTTGTTCAAACCCACATAAGAGAAAATATTTGACTGACATGAAGAGAAATGCGGCACCATTTGTCTTCACACAAGTGAAAATTTTCCACAGAAAAAGCAGGGTAAAAGGAAATCCCAAAATAATCCCTTCACAAAAAGTAAACAAGCCCCCCTGTAACTTATAGTTGACTCATCCTTTTAAAGCCCACTCCCTCACATGCAAGAGACTTGGGGAAACTCGGTGTAAAGATTTATTTTGCGTTTTGTCAACATGCTGGTGCTGTAATGGGGTGGGGCAGATTTTGTTCTTGTGCTTTTAGCCCCACAGAACCAACTGGGCATTGTGTTGTCGCCACAGTCTGCCTGAGTATCGTCATTCACTGGAGGGTCCTGATGTGTTAATACTGACTGACATCTACGAGCTCGTTGAATCTGTGCCATTAAGAATTATGGTAGTTCTGAAGGTCAAAAGGGTTCCAACCCACTACTGACAAGGTGCCTCCAAGTGGCAGTGAGTGGTAGTTGTCATAGCTTACCGAGTCGAGAGTAATGCAAAAAAAAAAAAAAAAAAGATATAAGATAACGTGACAAGGATTGCCTCTGTGCTGGTGCTGCTTTGAAATTTTTAGTGGTGATAATGGTAGTGATGGGCAACACTGAACACATTCACAGTGTAGGTGTAATAATAATAATATGAAAGTTTAGTCATTCCACCCTCTGCCTGGCATTTTTTATTCTTATTTTT